CTTGCGAAATCTCGAGATCTCCGTCACGGGATCATTTCCAAAAACAATAATTTTGTGAGTATTTGCAATATCATTAAAGATGATATCATGCAGAAACTGGACCAGATTGGCCGGCGCGTTCGGAAGTTATTGCCATTTAAGTGTTTTCACTTCAAGGGGGTGTAACTCCCCCTAGAGTGATCCTACAGGGGTTCAATGGGGGTGTTTTTTTAATGCCGAAGGATGCTCTCTCTCGTGCTCTGATTAGAAATATAAATTTTCTCCCGGAACTACTAGATCTCGAATTTTTCAAAAAGTTCCAAAATGCACTTTTTCACTCCAACCCCTGCCATTCGGCCATTTTGTATCCGATCGGGATAAAACCTTTACCATTCGAACGGGAAGGAAATTTCCTAAAAAACATGTCTTTGGTTTTTCGAAATCTGTCATACTTTCACAGATATGTTTCACAGATACGAAAAAACAATGATTTTCGATATTTTTCCAAATCTTAGCAAAAGATATGCCTTCATGACGTAGATAAAAAGATAAAGGGGCCTATTATTATAGGACCACGCAATTATTTCACGAGACTGGTCGGATCGTTAGGATCCAGGGCAGATTAATAACGCAAAAATCGCTCCATAAGAACCGTGAACGATTCGGGCAGAGGCGTACGAGCCTCCGGGGCCTGATCGGGTGCAGGTTAATAATTATTAAAGTATCGATTAAACGATGCGCACGGCTTGATTGATCAGCTGATTTAACATGGGCTCCCAAGCGTTGCTCAGCCACCGTGCTCAATGGACCCTTTGAAGTTTGATACAGATACAGTGAATACCACAGCATCTTACTGTAGGTTGCAACGATTCTAACAGTGGCTGTACGAAGGGGGCTCACAGGGGCTAAAAGACCAATTTATATTCGAGAAGAAAAAAGAAAATAAATTCAAAAACTTCCCTAAACTCTCTAATTATCTCCCATTACTACCCACCGACAATCAATCCATCGCCCAAAATCATCCTGGGATCATTGACGTACAGTCATTGTGAAAAACTATTCATCTTTTAAATATGTCCCTTCGTGCATGGCTTATCAGCTGATACAATAAATTCACTTTTACAGTAGTAAGATAGTGGATAATAAATTGAGAGGATCCCTCAGAGTCTGCACCAGGTATAAAGCCTGACGAAGGGAGCGTGCCGACGGTAGCGAGTATTTTTTGCAAGGATCAGATTTAACTGGATGTCGTTACTAGGGGCATTGTTGTCGGCCGTTGGTCGGTTCAATCCGTAGGCACTCGGGGTCTGTCTACTTAATCTGTTCGTTTTTGTCTCTCCCACTCAAAGATTGACAGAACCCGCGTCGAACTGTCCTTCTCTCTCTCTCTCTCTCTCTCTCTCTCTCTCCTCTCTTTACCTCCTTCTCTCGAATCTCCGAGAGCTGAAGACCCCGTAGGCTATATTTATTGTGTCGTGAAAGAGAAGAGCCGTGCCGGCACATTCCTGGCGCATACGCAGTACGTAATGAGCGCCTCTGCTCCTGTCCGTCTCCCTTCGTGGGACTTCGGGCGCTCCCCACCGCTGCGCAACGGTCCCCGAACAGGCCCGATCTGACTGGGACGCTCGCCTGCCGATTGCCCAGTACCTGCTGGATCCTGCATCGAGAAAGAGGTCTACAGGTGGGGGATACCATACCATCGGAGCAGAGTGGTAGCTCAAGCTTCCGTGGTTCGCTTATCGATTCAAATCGCGTGCAGCGAGTATGAATGAATGAGCGAGTGGGCGAGTCGGCCACCGGTTGAATGAAACCCTCGGGCGACCACGAGCCAGGTTTTACTACCGACTGGACGCCCACATAGAGAATGCCCTTTTCCTTCCGGCAAGATGCCGTCAGAACGCATCCATATTAAATCGATAATAGAATATATACAAATATATATAGACAGAGTCAAGGTAGGGAGAAATCACTACGGTGGCTCATAGAATGAAAATGATTATTTATTTTGACAATCAATATGGCAGTACAGTCCCCTGTGTATGCTGTACTCGACTTATCTGGAAATGATTTGTCAAGAGTGAAGCAATTAGGAACACAGTGCACATTGCAGTTTATAGATTTCTTTCAGTCTTTCATAGTCAAGTTCGAACCCTCGTTAATGCCGATCTCGTTCGTGGAGCCTTTTCTTGACGTGATCGCAACGCGCCGCGTCGGAGTCACGTAAAAAGATGTCCAGAGAACGTCTAATAGCTCGCGTCGGCATTCCCGCGATCCAAAAAATGTGCCAAACCGCCGCCCCGCCGTGAATTCCCGATACTCATAGCGCTACTAGCACAGTATCGTAGGGGTACATTCAAGACTATTTATTTTCTTATTACTACCGAATATTTCTTACGAGGCCTGTATAGTTAGATTTTGGAAAATTTTAATAAAGTTTAATAACATTTTCTTAATTTATGTACATCGAACGTCTTTCAATCCACGTGCCAAAGACTCTGACATTCTAGCCGTTGGTATGATTTTTAAGTGTGCGACGGTGTTATCGCCTCCCCCCTCCCCCCTCCTCTGCACGTCCTCATTGGAGCCTTACATTTTTCTCCGCAAAGTGCTTTTTTCCCGGTACATATCGAACGAGCTCAATGTTATAAATATCCACGGCGATTGGCTTCTTCCTGCGGCGATAATGTCGCTCCGTATATTTTAATTGACAAATAATTTTTTGTCCGCGCGCCCGCGCATGAGTCGCGTATTGTGCGCGATTAACTGCCCGCTTTTTGAGCCACGGCGACCAGTAAAATGCTGTTTTCCGAAAATGGTAGTGGAATGAGGACGGGTCCCTGCGGCCGCTACGATCTCGCGACGTGGTAGCATTTAATTTGGTATAGGACATTCCCTGCAGGTTAGCCAACCATCGCAACTCCATTGAGGATAATCCTTAAATTAAACAAGATTATCCTCCAGAAATCCAGAACTACATAATAAGAACAACCCCATTGCGCATGATGATTGTCAGAAACATACATATCTATATTAAATCTTATCGAAAAATCATACGTCCCTCATATGTGTCTCAATTATTGACATTTACCACCTGTGCCGAATTGGCGCTTGATTATCGTCGTCTACAGATCTTTTCGATCTATATTCTTGATCTATATGTCGGCAAAGAAACGGCGAGTGCTACGCCACTGTTTGAGAACCGACAAGAAGTCGAACGAGGGGTCCGAGTAGGACCGAAGTTGCATTGTTCTTGAAGATCGTCGGGGCAATTTATAAGTACGGTAAGTTCGATCAAAAGGGAATAGAGAGAAGAAGGATGTAAGTAAGAAAGACGAAGGTACTACAGGTAGGAAGGATATGAGGAAGGAGTCAAAGATTTCGATAAAAGTCAGGTAGAAGGAGGTTGAATGAGATAAAATGCTAAAATCAACTTTTAAAAAAAGGTTCAATGACACCAAGATGCAAGGGAAGAAACTGACCTTGGTCAACTGGCTATCTCCCCC